CTCCATCTATGATGGGAGGTCAGCTAGGTAATGGGACATTGCCACCTTTATTTGAGAATGCTGCTGCTTCTGCTATGGGAGGACTTGGATTAGATTCCAGAGCATTGGGTGCTTTAGGACCTAATCTATTGGCTGCTGCAGCAGAACTACAGAACCTTGGTAGAGTTGGGAATCAGGGTGCTGGGAATTCCCTTCAAATGCCTCATGTGGACCCGTTGTATCTACAGTATCTGAGATCAAACGAGTATGCTGCTGCACAGATGGCTTCCCAGAGTGAATCAGCTATGGACAGGGAGTACCTGGGTAATTCATATACGGATCTGCTTCAAAAAGCTTATCTCGGGGCTCTGCTTACTTCTCAAAAATCACAATATGGTGCTCCATATCTCGGCAAATCTGGTAGCTTGAATCACAATTACTATGGAAATCCATCATATGGGCATGGCATGTCCTATCCCGGAAGCCCCCTAGGTGGAGGGCTTCTTCCAAACTCTCCAATTGGGTCAGGCAGCCCTGGCAGACATGGTGATAGGTCTTTGCGTTTTCCATCTGGAATGAGGAATCTGAGTGGAGGTGTTATGGGATCTTGGCATTCAGAAGCTGGTGGTAACTTTAATGAAGGCTTCCCATCCTCTCTACTAGATGAGTTCAAAGGCAACAAGACGAAGTGCTTTGAGCTCTCTGAAATTGATGGTCATGTTGTTGAATTCAGGTGTGTAAATATGCATTGAATATGTGGATGTGGCTCTCCTTTTTTTTTTTTTTTTTTGTAATGTCAGACACTGAGAAGTTTATGAATGTGTAAAACAGTGCTGATCAGTATGGGAGTCGATTCATCCAACAAAAACTTGAGACTGCTACAACAGATGAAAGAGACATGGTCTTCAATGAGATCATGCCCCAAGCCCTTTCATTAATGACTGATGTGTTTGGTAACTATGTAATTCAGAAGGTATTTAGTTAGTCCACTGAGCTACCTGAGATACGATTGTTGATTTCTTAATCACACTACAGCTGCTGCTTGTTTGTTTCTCCAAGGATCACATAATTACATTCAATGTAAAATTTCCGTCTAAGTGATACTTCTGTTTTGCTTCAGTTTTTTGAGCACGGATCTGCTCCTCAAGTTAGAGAACTGGCTGAGCAGCTGACTGGTCACGTTCTGACCCTTAGCCTTCAAATGTATGGCTGTCGAGTGATCCAAAAGGTATGTTAAAAACGTGATCATATTTCTGTTTGCCATGTTCTTCTCTCTGAACACAGAGGTGTCTTATTTCTGAATGGTCCAAATATGGAAATGGTTGTACCATGCCAGAGACAAAGTTCACGAACTTTCAGCTGAGGTTCTTGTTATTGAAGCTGAGTTTCTGGAGGGGGAAAAAAAAAACCTGGTGTCGGTATATAGCTATGATATTCTCTAAGTCTGGATGAAAGGAAATTGAAAGGGTATTTTTAAAAAGAGAATGTAAAGGTGAAGAGGGAAAGGAGATTAATAATTTGCTTATGCTAACTTTACCGAAAGGCTTGCATTGTCTCTTTAAGTGTCAGTGTACAATGCTACCTTATTTAAGCATTTTCATTTTTACTTTTTCTTTGTTCTCCCATGGCCTCTTCTTTCAAACTAAGCTAAGATAATGTTTGGCCTTCCATAAACTTCATGTCTTCTCTGTCTAATTTTTTATTTTCCAGTTACTCTGAGAGTGTACTGAAAGATAGTATAGCACGCTTGATAGCTTCCATTCTTGTTCCAGGCTATCGAAGTAGTTGAGCTGGATCAGCAAACCCAAATGGTGAAAGAGCTCGATGGTCATATCATGCGATGTGTTCGTGATCAGAATGGCAATCATGTCATCCAAAAGTGTATTGAATGTGTGCCTGAAGATGCCATACAGTTCATTGTCACAACATTTTATGATCAAGTTGTTACACTATCCACTCATCCATATGGTTGCCGTGTGATACAGGTTTGTGTTCTATGTTTTACTGGTCTGTCTATGTGCGATGGCTGATTCATCTGTGAAATAAGATACTTGCATCGTAGACTACAGCATGACGAAGTGTATCACAGGCTCACAAGCCTTCGATTTCAGATACTCTGTCTATCATTGCGGAATATAAAGGAATGACTGCATGTCAACATCTATCTTGGCTTTTCTGTTGGCTAAAATAATTGTTCCCACTTGACATAAATATATTTTGCAGAGAGTTCTGGAGCATTGTAATGACCCAAAAACCCAACAAATAATGATGGATGAGGTCTTTCGATCTGTTTGCATGTTGGCGCAAGACCAGTATGGGAATTATGTCGTTCAGGTTTGTTGTACTGTCCTTGTATTGATCCATCTAAGTTACTTATCCTTTTGTCGTAATCACCACATCTTATATCTTTTCAGAGAAAAAACAAAGGTAGCATAATTATTTCGTCGCACACAGTTACAATTTGTGTTCTTCTTGATTTTGTTGATATCTGTTGCGGTCTTTCTACTCTATATGCTTCTGCGGCATGTGAGTATCACATTAACTTTTGATATCATAGATGCGCCTATGGGCAGAGGTCTATAAAATGTTAAGGACTCTATTTGGTTGTATAGTTTATGGGTATTGGTAAAATGAAAGTAAACTATTGTAGTTATTCCATGAACGGATCATTGTTTAAAGAGACTGATGTAATGGCTCTTGGTTTATTATAATTCTTGGTTCTCATTGTAATATAAAACCACCACGCCCTTCCAGTTACACTCTCAGTCCTCTTTTATTTCGCTTCGAACTGGCTAGCTTAGTTACTTTTATTTACTGTTTACAGCATGTGCTGGAACATGGGAAGCCTGATGAACGCTCAGCCATTATAAAGAAATTGACTGGGCAAATTGTTCAGATGAGCCAGCAGAAGTTTGCTTCCAATGTTATAGAGAAGTGTTTGACATTTGGGACACCTGCTGAGCGCCAGGCATTGGTTGATGAGATGCTTGGCACCACTGATGAAAATGAGCCTCTTCAGGTTTGCGAATGAACTTATCTTCTTCCCTTCCCTTGGAGAATCTGAAAGTATTTAATTTGATCATTCTAGAGCTCTGCAGTAAGTCTGGTTTGTGTCTCACGTGCAGGTTATGATGAAAGATCAGTTTGCAAATTACGTTGTACAGAAAGTGCTTGAAACTTGTGATGACCAACAACTTGAGTCGATCCTCAACCGAATAAAGGTGCACTTGAATGCTTTGAAGAAGTATACTTATGGGAAGCATATAGTGGCACGTGTAGAGAAGCTCGTTGCAGCTGGAGGTACGTTAAAGCACTTGTTTTTTGTTACTGTTGTTGGTTTACTATACACTCTAGTTGAGTGAAACTTGAGGAAGAAACGAGTCTAACGAGAGCGCGGTTTTACTTTCTACAGAGAAGCGTATCAGCATCCTTACTCTGCAACCTGCTGCTGCTTAGATGGCATAGGAGAAGTTGTACAGCTAACTGAGGATAGTATCAAGGCACCTCCATCTTTCGTAGTTTCCGAGTTTTCTGGTTGCTAGTTCCAATGGCCCTGTCCTATTTATGGGGACAGATAGTCTGGCCAGATGCAAATAAACAAATTGTTGGTTGTACTTAAGTAAGAACCCCTGTACATTGTTAGTTGGAGAGTATACCTAGATTCAGGCTTTTCTTAGCATAAGGGCTCAGAATCGCAGCACATGCCGATGCTGTTGCGCAGCAATTGCAGAGATGAGATGATAGAAGAGGATGTGATTACCGAGCGAGAAGAAGTCCTCGTCGTCGTTTGAAGGTGTAAAGAAAGGTAAACATGAGATGGTAGAGGATGTAGTGAGCTTGCAGTGTTGATGTTTGACTGTACAAAGGTGTTTGCAGGCAGAGGGACAACCAACAAATCCTTTTCGTATTTAAGGAGAGTCTGGGGGAATTTTCTAATGTAATGGGTCTTTAATCTTTGATATCTAAGTAACTCTTTCCATATCTTGTGTTTTCCTCAAATGGGTTTTATCATGCTCCCTTATTAGGTCACAAAGTTCAGACTAGGAAAAATAACTTTGCTTCTTTCCCTGATTTGTGCTGGTAAGGATGAGAAATTAAGGGGATAATAAGGAAATAAAGGAGTCAAGTAAGCATGCCAGCATAAGGTCTTGAACTTGACTGAACAAATTCGAAAAATCAATTGACACGACACGAAAAAACATGTCTAAAATGGGGTGTTGTCTTGTTGGTTTAAGCATGTCCTAACAAGTACCACGTAGGACGTAGGTACTATACAAGGCTAAGCTTACAACCTAACTGATAGTTATTGTTCCAGAAGAGTGTGTAATTTGTATACGAATTTTCTTTTTTTTAATAGAACATCGTTTTTCTTGTTTTATTTTGGTATGAATTGATGTTATTCAAAACTCATGTAAACAATTTCTTTTAGAATTCATCATAATTTTTATAAAGCAAACATCTTATTATGAAATTACATGAATTCTAACATTCTCACATACAAAACACGTGAAATTTCATGCAGCATGGCAAGCGAAATCATCTCTAAATGGGTTGTTTCCCCCATTGCCCATTGGTTCCTCCAAGTTTGAGTGAGTTAATATACGGTAACAACTGTTCCTTTGAATTTTCATAGCCACTTTCGAGCTGTTAAATATTCTTCTCTTCTCTCGTACATGTCGTGAATCAAAACCACTAAGCGGTCCAGAACTTAATCGCCACCGATCATCCTGCTCCGAGTGGTTTCCTATACGCTCCCATCCAGTGGCGGAGTTAGGTTCAAACGTGAAGAGGCTATACGCTCATCAAATTAAAATATATGCAATTTTTTTATTGGCAATATATATAAAATTACAAATAAATTTTATAACAAATTGAAGGAATAAATTAGTCAGTAAAACTTTAATCTCTCTTTTTCATTACTACATTTCAACTCTTCAATCAAACGTTACTCTCTTTAAGTTGCAACCGAGATTAGTAGGCCCCCCGTATTTCCCTTTCCCATCCACAAACACGGTCCATTCCCTTCTCAGTTCTCACACAAACTCAGCCGGACGACTCGGTAAAAACCCGATTCGCTGGAACCGGAAAATAGAAACACCTCTCAAAAAGGCCAAAACCCTAACCCGCCGGTCTGTCCGTTTCACCAAAGCAGTTCCCTTCACCCCCTCCCCATCGGTTCACAATCGACTCGACCTCAACTGAATTAACTCCCTCGACTCGGCACACTCCCCTTTCTCCATCACGGAAAGAACCCAGTAAGTTCTTCTTATATAAGCCTTCTGTTGCCCAGTTCCTTATATATCCCATTGCTTGTTCTTTCGATTCTTTTCCTGCTCAAAGTTTCGATCTTTACCTCCGCTCAAGGGTTTCCCTTCCTCCCTTTTGCCCTCCACTAGATGGGTTCGAATGTGGAAATTGTTCCAATAACGTCACAGAAGCACGACCCGGCATGGAAGCACTGCCAGATGTTTAAGAATGGGGATAAGGTTCACCTTCAATGCCTGTATTGCAGCAAGGTTTTCAAAGGGGGAGGGATTCATAGGATTAAGGAGCATTTAGCTGGTCAAAAGGGCAATGCTTCCACCTGCCTGAGAGTCCCAGCTGAGGTGAAGACTGCAATGCAGCAGAGCTTAGATGGTGTGGTTGTTAAGAAGAAGAAGAAGCAAAAAATTGAGGAAGAGATCGCGAGTGTTAACCGTGTTGATTCTGTTCCTGAGGGTTTTGCTGGTAACTGTCAAAGTGGTGATGATGAGTTTGTTCACTTCTCAAATGTCAATGAGACTAGTTCTACTGCGTTGGTTGGTGGTACATTGGGCAACGAAGGAGAAGGGAAGAAAAGGAGGATTTCGGGGTCGAGCGCGATTCCTATTGCTACTGCTGGAGTTGATTATTGTACGGCATTAGTTGAGAAGAGGGTGGATGGTGGGGATGGTGTTCAAATTGCAATAGCAAGGTTTCTGTATGATATTGGGGCACCCTTGAGTGCTGTGAACTCGGATCACTTTCAGCCAATGGTAGATGCAATTGCTTCGGGAGGACCTAATGTTGTGCCGCCTTCTTATCATGATATTAGAGGGTGGATACTGAAGGGCTCAGTTGAAGAAGTGAAGAGTGATGTCAACAAGCAGATGGAAACATTGGAAAGGACTGGCTGTTCTGTTTTGGTTGACCAGCGGAACACATCAGATGGTAGGACTCTGTTGAGCTTCCTGGTTTCTTGTCCCGAGAGGGTGGTGTTTGTTAAATCGGTTGATGCATCTGATACTGTGAATTCGCCGGATCGTCTGTATGAGTTGCTTAAGCAAGTGGTGGAAGAAGTCGGTGTACAGCACATTCTCCAAGTAATAACTGGCGTGGAAGATCGATATGTTATTGCTGGGAAGAAGTTGTCAGAGACTTTCCCCACACTGTATTGGTCACCATGTGCTGCCCATTGTATAGATTTGATACTGAATGACTTTGCTAAACTGGAATGGATAAATGGCATTATTGAGAAAGCTAGGTCTATTACAAGATTTGTATACAATCATACGGAGGTTGTGAATATGGTGAGAAGGTATACCTTTGGAATTGATATTTTGCAACGAGGATTGACCCCTTCTGCAACAAATTTCGTTACCCTGAAGCAATTGGTTGATCTGAAGGACACTTTGCAAGGCATGGTTACTTCATATGAGTGGATTGATTGCCCCTTTTCCAAGCAACCTGGGGGCTTAGAAATACTGGATCGTGTTAGTGATCAATCTTTTTGGTCTTCCTGCACCCGGATAGTCCGTCTAACACAACCCTTGTTAAGAGTTTTGAGAATAATTTGTGATAGGAAGCGGCCTCCTATGGGGTACGTCTATGCAGGGATGTACCGTGTGAAGGAAGAAATCAAGAAAGAGATCTTGAAGAGGGAAGACTATGTGGTATACTGGAACATTATAGATCAATGGTGGGAAGGCAAATGGAATGTGCCTCTTCGTGCAGCAGGATTTTATCTCAATCCAAAGTTCTTCTATAGCATTAAAGGAAACATTCATGGCGATATTCAGTCTGGGTTGTTTGATTGTATAGAGAGATTAGTTCCCGAAGTAGATGTGCAAGCTCAAATAATCACAGAGAGAAATTCTTACAAAAATGCATCATCGGATTTTGGAAGGAGGGTAGCAGTCAGAACCAGAGAAACAATGCTTCCCGGTAAGGTTCCTTTGATTGTAAACCTAGTGCTTTTCAAGCATATGCATCTAGCTTTGAAATGTGATGTAGATGAATATGTGATTATTCTTAACTTTGTGCACAATATAGATGAATGGTGGGCAACCTACGGAGGAAGCTGCCCAAATTTGACAAGATTGGCTATCCGCATACTAAACCAGGCCTGCAGTTCAATCGGATATAAACAAGATGACATTCCAATCGAGCGAGTGCATGACACCAAAAATGGCCTGGAACATCAACGGCTCAGTGATCTTGTCTTTTATCAGTACAACTCACGACTTAGAGACATGTAAGTGTTATCTGATCACCTTCAGAAACTACTTTCTAGAGATGGCTAAATGAGGCATAGATGAAGGAAAGTCCAGGGTTTTTTTTTTGCCTGACAAAGTATTGCCAACATTACAGAATGACCAAGAAAGAAGAACAGGATACCCTTGATCCTCTATCATACGAAAACGTTAGGTTTCTGGAGGACTGGGTGAATTCCAAAGACGCATTTATCGAGGAGAGTATGAAATCCGATTGGGCAGCCATAGATCCTCCTCATGGTAACAAGTCGATGTTAGGAGGCCATTCTGAAGATTATATAAACGAGTTGGAGACAGGTAATATTCTCATATGATGTCTCAATATTACTGAAGATGTTCTACTCCTAGCGACATCGTTACTGCTAAGGATTTCGTTGTAACTAATCCAATGCTTTCTATCACTCATGCAGTGTTTGATGATGCTGAGATTTTTAGTGGAGCCAAAGAAGGTATGGAGGAAACCATTGAAGAGAATGTAGCAAGGTAGTAAAACTTAGAAACAGCTTGGAATTATTGGATGTCCCCTTGGGGTCTCTTCCACCTTTTTACTAGGATCGAATCACCCAAGGTGGCGAAGTTCGATTTTGTCCTGAAAAGTGTATATGTAGTTAGTTAGCCACATTGTGAAGATCCCACCCCATCTTGGGAGCAGTAGAAGAAGAGTAGATTCCAGCTTTTGGATATTGAACAGAATTATCCATTGGACACAAATTGAGAGAGGAGAAGAAAAGCAAGGGCAGGGGCAGGTTCCCGGCCATGGCTAACATAGTTGGGTTGGAACTTGGAAGTTTTCTGAACTTCCCGAAAACAGGGGATGCTCTGTTTTTCTCTCTCTTTTCCCTCACGGGACTATTTAAAGATTACCATATTTCTGGCTGGCTTAAGCTTAAGGTTCCGAAACAGGGGATGCTCTGTTTTTCTCTCCCTTTTCCCTCACGGGACTATTTAAAGATTACCATATTTCTGGCTGGCTTAAGCTTAAGGTTCTGAAACAGGGGATGCTCTGCTGATACTTATCATTCCCAAAAAAATTCCTCAATGCCATGGTCGTCTTCACTTTCGTCAATCTTGATAAAACAGCCGACTCTACCTCCATCTCTCGAATTCGAATGCCATCATCAACCAAGTTCGTAATAAATCAATTCATTTACCACAGGGGATGTTTCCTGCAGCAAACTCTCGGACGTGGGCCTCGAGCCATGATGACGAAGGACGAGCTCGAGAGCATCACTCCTGTCTAGATCTTGATCAGCAAGTATATATGGTGATCTTTAAGACTCTTTAGAGGAGGTAGATGATGGGTGGGCAACGGGACGGGACGGGATACCCGTCCCGTTTAAAACGGGTACCCAATCCCATTTGAAGAGCAATCTCCATCCCATGTCCCAAACCCGTACGGGTTAACGGGTACCCGTTACCCGTGCGGGACGGATAACGGGTACCCATACTACCCGCAAATACCCGTTTCAAAATTCCATCGAATCCCTTCTTTGCATCTCCCGTTCCCATTCCTAAAGACAAAAAAACCATTTATTCTCCACACAAATCAAAACAACAACACAAAAAAGCCCAGAAAATCTCATTTATTATTCTGCAACTACACATATTATTATCCAGGAAAATAATGTAAGAATATGTCAACTCTTTTGAAATAGCATGATTTCACCTATTACGTATAAAACATACAATTGATTGAGAAAAATAGTTGTGGAATGATTACCTGGATGGATGCGGATTCTAATTCCTGACACATTAAAAGAATGTCATATACATGTTAGGCCATGCAAAATTGGCTTAATCACTATATATAATCAGGTAATCATTGCCTTCGTTCCTTGTTGATTGGGCTTCTAACAAATATGGTTTTATTACTTGAAGTACTGCCGACCAACAGCAAAATCACTCAACATTATTGCAATAATTTTGGACTAATGGGTATAACGGGTACCCGTAATACCCAAACGGGTATTGACGGGTAACCCGCGGGTACCCAAAGTAGTGATTCTCGATCCCAAGTCCCATCCCGTAAAAAATATTACGGGTATTTGGGTACCCGTAACCCTCAAAAAACGGGACGGGTACGGGTATGCCCAAATACCCGTTTCCCGTTGCCCACCCCTAGATGATGGGCAAAACAATCCATTGTTCCCATGACAAAAGAAAGGGAAACCATTGAAGACAGAGAGACCATCAACAACATTAATATTTGTTTTCTCGAACATCGTCAAATAAAAAAACACCCGTCCATATTAAGGGATATTACACAACCCTTGATTCTCTGCAAATCCACTCAGCAAACCAGAAGAACGACCCTAGAAATTCACAAATTTAGAACTGGTAAAGGCAGCTTCCATCATCACTCCTTGCAGTTGGATCAAAGTTACCCGCATTTGGATCAGTACAGCCTTCAGGAACTGGCAGATTGCCCTGTTGAGCTCCTTGCCCTGCCAAAACAAACAAACAAACCCCAACACAGAACAACTCCTTAAGTTGAAATTCATCCAAGTAACTAAAAAACTAACATTGCCGGGAGTTCGAATTTTACGGCCAACAATCACAAACAACAATACACTAATAGGAAACCTAAGAAGAGGGAATGCAAACCTCCAATTGAAGGCCCCCTCCCTCTACATTTTTTCAGGATGTCGAAGAATCTAACCGTAGAAAGTTCCACTCTCCATGGCATCCTTGTTAGCATCACCAAGAGCAGCCTCGTTCAAGTACTGGTCAGCCAACTGCACCCTCTTCACATTCTCTTGCTCTGCCACAAGCATGTTCCCATACTCCATCAGCTTCTGCAATGTCATCTTCGGTTGCTCGAACGTCGGGGGAGGGTCCTTGGAGTTCACCAGCTTCTTCCCGATCGTCTCCACTCCGACACTGGAGATCCACTTCCTCACCTCGTCGTCGTAAACCCTAGCCCTCAGCGCCCCGAAGAAATCTACCCACCCCAATGTCAGATACCAGTCAGAAAAACCAAGAAAACTTGCGTCTCAAGTAAAGTCTAAACCAATACGGTGGAGTCAAATAATGTACCGATGGATTGTCCGGGGAAGGAGTCGACGAGCTTGACGATGTCGTCCTTGGGGACATTGTCCGTCCTGAAGATACCGGTGCATACTCCGATTCGGTCCTCCCTGGTCGGAGCCCAGTAGAACTTCTCCATACGCCCGTCACGGATAAGAGGGGCGTAGAGGGTGGAGAAATCGTTTCCGGTGACGATGATGGGAACTCGGGCGTTCTCTTCCTTGTTGTACATTCCGGGGAGCTGGACGTTGGTGGGCGCGTCGGCGATGTTCATGAGGGTGGCGTTCACCATCTGGTTGTTGACGGTGTACTGCGTCGTCCCGCCCATACGACCGGCGCCGGCGTCGAGATCGTTGATGAAGAGGCAGCACATCTTGCCCTTCTTGATGATGTCAGCAGCCTCACGGTACCTCTGCCTGATCAGCTTCGCCGGCTCTCCGGCGTTGCCGCTTTCCAGCTCTCCGGCGCTCATCATGATTGGGCTGTCATTGCAGAAAATTCTGACATTAGCTTCACATTTGAGACATTTCACTATGCTGTAATGGTGTGGAATTCAAGGGGCTCACTTGATTCCCATCTTGGCGAAGACGAGCTCCGCTTGGAAGGATTTTCCTTGACCTTTGCCTCCCCATACACCCAAGATCAGGGGAACCTGTAACCAAAGGAAAAAAAAAAAATCACAGGTGAAATCTTGATCAAATGAGTACTCGAACCCAATAATCGATCGAAGGGTTTTGGAATGTAGTAATTAACAATCGAGTTACCTTAATGTTAGGGAGGTTCAAGAAGTTCTTGGTGATGTGAACGACTATTTTGTCCATGAAAGCAGGAGCAATGTAGAAACCACCCATGGTGTTGTCAAAATCGTATCTGCCCACACATAACACAACCAACTATCGGTTGCAGTGGCCAAATTGTGAATCCGAACGATCACGGTTAAACTAACTTCTCAGCTCAATCGGTTCAGTAGTCACACCATCATCAAGTGTGTCAACTGTCAAGAACCTATCAGCCCGTTTGTCAAGAATCAATTGGTCCCAATAACTCGAGCAGTTGGAAGAGATTCAATCATAGATTCTTATATCATAACTAACAATGGCTTTCATCGGTGAAAATCCCCAATCTCAGAGTCCTGTTTTCGCGCATAAGACCTAAAACGACGCTACCAAGACCCATTTTTTCATACATAAGGCATACTGATACCAAATTTGACAACATTTTTTACAAAATTCGAACCTTAAACCTACAGCTTTAGACAATTAGCATAAACACCAACTCTACCTAGATTAGCCATGAACAAAACGGAAAACAGAGCAAAAAAAGGCAGAGCAAGTGAAAGTAAGAAGATTTACGTACGTTCGGAGGCCTTTGCTGATGTAGTCATAGGAGCTCATGACGGCGTAGTGAGTTCCGGCCATCTGCGGCGCCTGGAACAAACTGTCGACCATACCTTTCCCTCTGGTGATGTCCTGCTGGTCGTCGGACATGTCGGTCACCAGGTGTCCCCATCGGTCCCCTTCCGTCTGCTTCTCCTCGTCCACGTCTTCAGGGGCAGCCTCCGCGACCACCTTGAACCCGGACTTGGGGAACAACCGCACTCCTCCCCCCAATTTCTTCAAGCTCGTCCCCAAGAACGCCGAGGTCGGCACCGATGGACCGGCTCCCGACCCGTTCAGAGCCAACTGCAAGCAAATCAAATCAACCAACACCCACTTCGTCAATTAGACGAATGCTACTACTTGCTTTGCAAATTCCAACCCGTATTAAAGATGTAAAGCAAATGGGTAGGGGAGGGGCTGTGAGAAGAGGGGTTTACCGGAACCCGGTTGACCGCGGCGATGGTGGAGATGGCGGCGGCCATGAGTTGGAATTGCGCGAATTAGTTGGAGAGTGAGGTGAAGAACAAGTGATGAGGGTGGAGAAAGTATGGAGCTTTATAGTGGCAGTATGGGTGATCGGGAAATTGGTTGATTTTTCTGAGGATTGGATTAAGGCAGGGGAGATTCTGTTTCGTCCACACGATGAAGATTGGTTAGCTGCCACATGGCGCACCACGACAAGCACCCGGCTTCGGGAAGCGTCTCTCCTTTTGCATTGTTTCTGAGGGGATGTGGATTTTGTGTGCTCTCGTTGCCACAATTAATGAATTCTTTTTGTTTTTGAAAATATTTGCCACACAATGGATAATTGGTGGTCGTTATTTTTGGTTTGGTTTTGGCGCGGAATAAGAACGTAACGATCAGCGAAGCTGTGTTGGTAGGGGGTTGGGCCATTTTGGATCCATGCGGAGAAAGCGAGCTTCAAGGAAGTGATTGCAGGCCAGGTGAACTGTGTTGGTAGGGTTTGGGCCATTTTGTATCCATGCGGAGAAAGCGAGCTTCATGAAGTGGTTGCAGGCCCAAGCCCAACATTATCGAAAATGGTCAAGCTTTCTTACTCTTCTTGATTGGTGAACTGAACAACAATTTTAAGAATACGTTACCCTCAAAACTCCCTTGATGATAGAAAACAGATGAATTGGATTCCAGGTTACTGTAATCGGGTTGGACAGAAGAGAATTGAAAGATTATGATTAACAGGTTCAAAAAATAGAATTATGGGTCGAAATTTAGGAGAATTTGGAAAGAACAAAAATGTGGAATTAAGAATTTAGAGAAGGAAATTGGTCAGAATTAGGAAAAATGGCCGGCAGGGCAGCTTGAGAGATAGAAGGAAGGGATTTGAAGGAAAGAGAAAGAGAAATTACGATTTGAGATAATTATTTCCATTATTCTTCAACTTAATGATCGTAAAATGTAAACATTCATATTCAACTCTGATCACTCGAATTACTTTTTTGTTTTTATGAATGTCACTCGAATTACAAAAACATGTTACATTTAGTTGGACGGAAACTAATAGGAAAGTGACTAAATGTGACATGTTTCAGTAATTTGAGTGACCAAAATTAATATTAATTTTTTCTAATGACTAAACATGACATGATTTAGTAACCTCAGTGACCAAATGACCAAATGTGACATTTAATTTTTTTTTTTTCATTTACAAACCTAAGCTAGCTCAACCTCTCAGATTTATTGAGCTTATGTCGAGACAGATCCACCAGTTTACCATCACACCTTAGCTCGTTCTTGTTCAATGGTTGTGACCAAAAACTTCAAAATGTTAGCCATATACACGAAGAGCGCAACAAACTAAAGGAAAGAATAAAAAGAGAACAAAGGATTAGGATTACTGACGTTAATCATGGTGATGACAGCTCAAGCATGCTGAACAGGGAACTGGAGAATTGCTTACCTGGTTCGACGAGGATAGACTCCATGCACGCAAAGCAATCATAGGCAAGGTAGCAGTAGGATGGCAGAGCTGGCAAGCAACCATAGCACCTACAAACAGAAACTTGGAACCGAAGAACATACAGAACCATGATCACTGGTCCATTGATAGAGAAAGACACTTTCATCGTTCAACTCGAAAACCTGGACAAAAGCTACTTCAGTAAAAGTAAACATTAGTCACCCCTTCACATGAACAACAACCTTGGAACAGTTGTGATAAGACAGAAAGTTGCCAACGAAAACTGGCAGTCTTGTCTCCTCCAGTTGCTTTTATTTCTAGAGCCGTGAAGCATACGAGAATTACCACACAATGAAGGGTCAAACATTGTTGAAAAAGTTCATTCCTTGACAAAAGCCAAAGGACTGTTGCTTAATAGGGAATGAGTGTTGTGTTTACTTTCACTTTTGAGACACTACACTCTGCCAATAGTCCAAAAGCGTGATGATGTCAAGAATCCGAATTCGCTCCTGGTGGAGGCAACCTCTTGTTTGATATTTGACGATCCAAACTGTTTGGAGTCTGTGGCATCGAGGAGTGCAGGGGACTTTGATGCTGTTTAACAGAGAGAGGATATAAGTTATATAGTGAATCCAGACGCGACATGTCAAGGCCAGATCGACGACGGATCCAAGAGGGTCAGACCTTTATGGTATTTGGTGCATTTGGAAGAGTTTCAACCTGGCCAGACTCCAATACAGTAATTTTAAGTGGCCAACAGGCCTACCTGATAAAAATGCAGCACAAAGGAAAAGCTTGATCAACAGGGGATTAACTGGTAGTAAATTATAACAAAGCATCAATAATTAAAGGAGAGATTTAACCAGTAAACCAGACAAAAGCCACCATGAGTCATCAGCTCTACGTTCCAAGTTGCCCGCCTAAGCTATGAATCCTGCACATAAAAACAATAATGAGTGAGCCGCAATGCATCGATTCCTCAACTTGGATTTTGATTTGACCCAAAGGATTAAAATAATAGCAGTAATCACCCAACAAATGCACTAACTTTGCTTTTGGTAATAATCAACTACCGACCAATTTCATTTGTTGGGGCTCTGCTGAGCTAAGCTGCCTTTTTTGTGCAGCTGCCACTGAAACAAGAGGTTGAAGAGCATGTACATACAGTGGCGGATACATGATGCTTTAGGGGTGTCCCGGGACACCCCCTAAATTTTGGGAACACGATTATTCAACCCCCGGTAGTAGTTTCGTATGGATAAACAAAATATAATTAGTAATCTGGGACACCTCTAAAATTTTAATAAATGATTTATCTTACCCTCGATAGTAATTTGCGTGATTAAAAAAATATAAGTGGTACTCTGTGTTATTCAAATCTAGGACACTACTATTATTTAACATCTTCTCCATTAGGTTATAACTCATTTGTTCTATTTTAAACACTATGTAATGGTGAAAACGCGATTTCTTATCCCCAGGGGTACCCTTATTTGTGGTAACACTGCAAGTGTTAAAACAGTCTTTTCAACTCTGAATTACATCATGAACGAGGTTAGAAATTGAATATGCGATCTAGTAGGATATACCGTTTGTTGAGCAGTGTACACACCAAATCTATCTTATATTTTTTTCGAAATATGAAAACACATCGTGACTTTTTGTCAACATTTATACTAATTGGATATTTTATTATTTATGTATTATTTAATTTAATTATTAATTTAATTCAATTTTTGGAAGAGGACACCCCTACAAAAAATTTCTAGATCCGCCACTGTGTACATATTACCAAACCAATCAGAGATCAGAATCAGACTAAAAGAACAATCCATGAACGTAGGACTGTTGTAAGTACGCTTGTAAGAATCTCAATGCTGTATCGTGGTCTGTGGAGGATATCATCAGTGAGTAACACAACCTGACTGTGTTAACTTGAATCACTTATCATTATGGTTACACCGACAATCACAGTGGGCAAAGTTTATCTTGACTTTGGCAAAAGGGTTTTTATCAAACTCAAGTATCGAACTTTATGCAGATATGCTATAATACTGCAGAATTCTAACGTTCAACCATTTTTTTCTGTCTTGTCATCATCTTCTGAAGTTTTGATAACTGATAGACTACTGTACTTGGCTAAGGGTAATGATGGGTAGTGTTTACAGATAAAGTAGTATTTAAAGCAATCATCTCTCATTTTTAGAGCCCAACTAATGAGAGTGATGATTAGGTCTTCCATCAGTGCCTTATTTGCTAGAGAATTTTAATGAAATACACAAGTCCTTTTCTGAACCATTATAATAGAAAGAAAGCTTACCCAATTTGAGAATTGACAAATGTAGCCCATAAAGGAGACCCTAAAGAACCCTACTTTTGTGAAAAAGTGAGAATGTCTCTTGGTACAGCAAAAAGAACAAACAACCCCTACCTATATGCTTTACTATAAAGAGCAAATCACACAAGTTCCTAAACCAACTTCATACCAGCCTTGGTACAAGTTTTAAGCCCCCTCCACCCAAAGAGAGATTAGAAAAGGTAAAAAAGTAAGTAGGAAGACAATGACAGGACAAGGCTCTTCTTGTGGTGCATGCAAGTTCCTAAGAAGAAGGTGCATGATGAAGGAATGCGTTTTTGCACCTTACTTCAGTTATGACCAAGCTGCAACCCACTTTGCAGCAGTGCACAAGGTGTTTGGTGCCAGCAATGTTTCAAAGCTATTGCTTCACTTGCCTGTAAACTATCGAGGAGATGCTGCAGTCACGATTGCTTATGAGGCCTTAGCTCGCATGGGGGATCCAATCTATGGTTGTGTTGCTTACATCATGACCCTCCAACACCAGGTTTCAAGCTCTTTCTCTCTTAATTCACCATTATATCCCTGTAAGAATCAGCTAGAAGAATTTACTCAGTTGGAAGGGAACAAGAATTCACAGACCACTAAGCTTACCTTTGTGGCTGTCTCTGCAGGTTTCCAGCTTACAACAGGAAATCGATATTCTTAGCCACCAAATGGCTTTGAACTCTGTCCTTGGGCTTGCTGGCAGCTCTGGTAGTTTACGTGCAAGTTCTTCTGCCTCAAACTGTGAGACACAGCTTTCTGCATATCCGGATCCTATCAACACACAGTGCCATCAGAATCAAGGAAATACAATCGCTAGAAACCAAGATTTTGATAGCAAGATGACCGCAGAGCTTGCCACTGTGTATGGATGGGAAGATCAGAGCCTATTCTGCAACTCTCCCCCATACAGCTTAGACGAACTCCTTAAAGGAGTCGACACCGAGATGTTTCCATGTTGGCCTGACAGCAGAAACAATGGCAACTAAGAAGCACCATATCAGGCTGGGAAGTGGATCAGCTTGTATAACAGGAGATTCTTTTGACCCCAAATGTGGGCAAGTTTTGTTGTATCTCCAAATTTTATAATTAGAATGGTATTGTAAAGTACGGCTTTCAGTTTCAAACCAAAAAATGGAACTTCAGCAAGCTTCTAAATATTTCACCATCCAGAACAGATCAACCACACAAGTTAAAGTTATCACTTGACTGTAGATGAACGAAATGCCTCAGTATTCGCACGATAACGAAATATATACTGCATACCATTGCAAGACCATTGAATTGAACAGTAAGAGTTAAAATTGCATTGAGCTGCTGAAACATCATAGAATGCCTTCCATGCGGTACAAGATAAGTTTATGGAAAAAGATAGCTGAATGGATTTTGCATTTGGGGTAGAAAAGAGATTTCTTCAATCAATTATTTTTCTTTCTAATCAGAACATTTCATATTGGAAAGGATTTTCCACTTGACACAAGGATAATCAAGCTCTGCAACTGCTGCACCAACTATCTCTGATATTCAGCCGCATCATCATCACTTAACTTCAGCAAAGCTTTTTACCAAACATGTGCATTGCAGTTTATGCGATTACTAAGAAGGCTACATGCTGCAGGTAAAAACACAAATGATTTCAGTAAGCAGAGGCACAACGAAGGACAAGCAAATGACAACAAAAACAAAGCTAAGCCTACCTTAGGCGCACCATTCCCTGGCATTCTGGAACATCTTCAACCATGGGCTAGGGCCTTTCTTGTCCACATCCCAGTGGGTTGGGTACCAGGGGAATTGCCACATTAAGAAGCAACGTTCGGGATGAGGCATCATGGCTAGATGCCGACCATCAGGAGAGCAAATTGCAGCTACTCCTAATGGAGACCCATTCACATTAAACGGATAAGTTTCTGTAGGATTGCCATCATCGTCAGCATATCTCACTGGTGCTAAATTCGAATGAATAACCCGATCGAGAACACCATCATCAGGGAAATATGCCCTCCCCTCTCCATGAGCTGCCCACACTCCCAGTGTACTACCTTCCATTCCTTGGAGCATTATAGCAGGAGAGTCCTGTATAATCACACTTGTGAATCGGCACTCGAACCGACCAGACTCGTTGTGAATAAATCTTGGCTGAGAAGGGTCCCCACCAGCACCAAGGACACCACCAACTTGTGGACCAGGGACCCACCCCAAAAGAGCCATGAGCTGACAGCCATTACAAACACCGAGACTGAAAGTATCTGGCCGCTTGTAGAATTCCTGGAATTGGGTCAGAAGAGGCTGGTTAAACCGAATTGAGGCGGACCAACCTTTTGCAGAATCGAGCACATCAGCATAGCTAAAACCTCCCACAAACACAATACCCCGGAATTCACCAAGAGATACGTCTCCTTTGAGGAGATCGGACATAGCTATATCCCATGGTTCAAACCCAGCAGCATAGAGTGCAGCAGACATTTCCCTGTCACCATTGCTTCCTTCCTCCCGGATTATGGCCACTTTAGGTTTTGAAGTTGCAGAGAGATATTTGTCATCAGTAAAAGATGGGGTGAAAGACAATTTCCACAACGGCTCATGCCTAAATTTCAAACCTTCCTTCTCTGACTCCACACATGAAGCCAATCTTTGAAACTTCTCAAGCTGAAAACTTGCATCCTCCCACATATCTCTGAGAAGAGTAGTTTCTTCTTTAAATTGAGTTTGTCCATCAACAATGAGTTCCACCACGGGAGAGGCAGTCACTTGACCAATAATTTCTGCAGTTACACCCCCACGGTTTAGTTTTCCCATTACCTTGTCTAAGTTTTGCCTGCTAACCTCAACAATCAAGCCGAGCTCTTCCGCAAACAGGGTCTGGAAGAGACCTTTACCCCGTGACCGCAAGTCCAAAATAATCCCACGATTTCCAGCAAATGCCATTTCTAATGCACAGACAAGTAAGCCACCATCACTAATGTCATGCCCAGAGGAGATTAGTTCATCAGTAATCAGATCTTGTACACCTTCAAAAACCTTTTTCAGGTAAGCAACATCATCTAGATCAGGACATTCATCTCCAACTTGATCAAAAGCCTGAGCAAGGGCAGAACCACCTAATCGCCGATTTCCCTTGCCCAAATCAATATGAAGCAAAACTCCATCATTCCCTAACTTCAGATCAGGAGTTACTGTTTTTGTTATGTCGGGGCAAGTGACATAGGTACTAATAACCAGATTACCAGGAGCCTTAACGACCTCACCAGATGCATGGGCAGCCATTGACAGACTGTCCTTTCCTCCATCAATTGCAATACCAAGTTCAATCATGGCTTCTGAAAGTGCAGTTGCAGCATCATACATGTCAGCTCCTTCTCCATCAAGTTTGGCAGCATACATCCAATTCCCACTTGCTTTAACATCAGAAAGAGATGTCACCTTTGCCCACACCAGATTTGTGAGTGCTTCACCAACAGCCAATCGGGCCATGGCTTTAGGATTGAGCAAACCTTTAATTGGTTGCTCCCCAATAGAGCAAGCACCTCCAGTGAGGTCTGAATAACTCTGAGCAATGACAGCAACATCAGCGAGAGTAATCTGCAATGGACCCACAGTCTGTTGCTGGGCTACAAGCCCTGTGACACACCTATCAACTTTTGTTGTCAAAAACCGCTTTGAACACACAGACGGAAGACGTAATACCCTCTTCAAGGCATCCATTACAGTGAGCCCAGGAGCAATATTAAGAGGCTCTTGAGCTTTTGCAACCCGGTGGAATTCAAAAGTCTTCTGTGGCATATCGCCAAGTACTTTATCAAGCTCGAGATCTACAGCAGGAGGTGGAACAGGGAGTCCACTAGAACGAGATTTCTCAACAGCTAACTTATCAACTAAAGTAACACGTCCTTCTCCATTTATTGTCCCAATAACAGCCATAGACAGCCTTTCCCTTCCACAAATAGATTGCAAGAGACCCCGGCTCTCAGGTTTTATCAAGATTGCATCTTGCTCCTGATACTCTGCACCCCATATCTCTAGAACAGACATGGTGTGGTCACCAACTACAATTGCCCGGATATCAATCTCAGCACCCTTTGGATATATAATTTCTTTCACAACATTGCAGTTCCCGCCAGCCCCTTGATCATGGATGCTAATAATTGGATTCTTGTCCCCCATCTCAATGCAGGCACGAACAACACGATATAACTTTTGTGCCATCTCAGCATCTCCACGTTGTACAGCATTGAAATCAAGCTCGGCATCATTCTGTCCACTAACCATGCTGGAAGCTGCTCCACCTCCCATGCCGATACGGTAAGCAGGACCTCCAATCTTCACTACTAGCATACCAATATCAGGCTCTCCTTTAGTTATGTGGATATGGTCAATCTGCCCAATTCCAGCGCTGAACATAATTGGTTTCAACCATTCTCTCCTTTCGCCATTTGGAAGTCTCATTCCAAAAGTTCTAGTGTAACCTTGAATCAAGGGTTCCCCAAATTTGTTTCCATAGTCTGATGCACCATTGCTAGCATCAATAAGAATCTGCAAGGGTGATGCCAAGTTTGATGGATATACAAATGAAGGATCTTCCCATGGTGAATATGAGCCCTCTATATTCAGATTACCAACACAATAGCCAGCAGTAGATGCAACCACAAATGAACCCCGACCTGTTGCGTGGGTATCCCTGATTCGACCCCCAGCACCTGTCTCTGCTCCAGGGTAAGGTGCCACAGCACAAGGAAAATTGTGAGTCTCAGCTGTAAATAAAACATCAAGATCGCGAGAAGCCGCTTCCAATGGACACGGCAAACCAGGCTTAGTTGGCCGTAAATGCTTCACTGGGAAACCTCTGATTGCACTAGAGTTGTCCTTGAAGCCAATAACAGAGTTGTTTGGATTTGCCTGTAAAGTGCTCTTCACAATCTGCATAAGCGTTCTGTTCATGGGTTCTCCATCAATCAAAATCTTTCCAGTGAAAAACCAATGCCTGCTGTGTTCGCTATTAGACTGTGCAATGTCAAATAACTCCACAGTGGAAGGGTTCCTTTTGATGTCTTCCCTAAACAGCCTGGTGTAATACTGTAAATCTTGTTCATCGAAAGCTAAACCCATCTCCTGATTGATCTCCTCCAAGGCCTTCCTACCCCTCTCCATAACAGGCACAAAGTGAACTTCCTCAGGGACCAAACTAGTCTCGAAAGAAGTTAACTTCTGAATGTAAACACACTCAGTCATTCTATCATGAACCATGGAAGCAAACTCGTTAATTTGACGATCTTGTAATAAACCCTTAGTATACAACAAATACCTCCTGGACCTTTCCATTCTAGTCACCTCAGTGAGCCCACAAGCTTTGCAAACTGAGACAGCATTCGCAGACCAAGCAGTTGTGAAAGACAACCTGGGACCGACCTCGACTATAACAGTACTCAACCCTTCCCTCTTCTTCTTCTCAAGGAAGCTCTGCGAGTCCAAATTCTCAGGCTCATAAGTTTCCTGAAGAAGCCACCTTAGAACCCCAAGCTTGTCGCCGGAAAGCTGGGAAGTGAGCCCAACATTAAAACACTGCTCTGTCTGTAACCCCACAATCCCATTCGACACTTTTGTTTGAACTGATTTGAGCAATTCAACAGTGGCACTCTCTTGAATAAATGGTACCCGATAAAAGTGGATAATTTCTTGTGCAGGTTTGTCAACCAAACTCGGAAGTTCATCAACAGAGCTGCTAACTCCCCCAGAAACCAAAGCTCTTGGCTTTTTCGAATTTGAAGAACATCTAAGTGAAACCGCTTGTCTCCCAGATATCCCGGCATTATACTTATTCCCGGCGCGGAGCGTTCCAAGCATCAACTGGTTTCGCCTGTTGATGGGCGAATCTCTATGTAAGAACAGAGTTTGCCCTTGCGTCCCCTGTGGACAAAAATACAGGGCCAAAACAACAAGATTAATAATAGAATCGTCGGAAGTTTGTAACTTTACTGAATAGAATCCCCCGTAA